GTAAAAACGTACAGGGGCCTTTCTGAAACATGCAAAAATATGAAAATTAACAAAAAATGTTGTTCTTAATATTTTTGCATGTCTCAGAAACTCCACTATATATCTTTAAGTTAAAATTAACATTTTATTTTTTACGGTGTACCCTGTAGATTTAAAATTGTATAATAATTAATGTGAAGGTTTGTTTTCTGTTTTTGTCGATTCGTTTACACGGAAAAAAAGAATTTTATTATAACTTATTAACTAAAATGTCTAAAAATTAAACCCTGGCTGCATAAATTAATCATAGATTTTTAATACTTATTAGCAACATTATTAAAATTGACGATCAACGTTTACACCTCAAATTCAATTTTCAATTATTTAAGCTCCTTGATGTAAACACTGGCTACGTTTACATCATGCACTCAGTCCACGATCTATAGATGTCTTTGTTTAACCTACAAGATAAACGATGACATCTATTGTATAGATCGCAGTCTAAATGCACGAGCCACTGTAAACGGTAGGTGATCTATCTTCTTTATGTTCAGGTCTCATTTTTTGATGATCCGACTTAAAATATAGGTCTGGTCGCAAAATAGATCTCGGTATAAAGTTTCAGCTTCAGTTTGCAATTGCGTTTCAATTCCGACAAACTAAATCAGCGCGCAGTTTATAAAACTAAAAGAATGTATTTGCAAAAATTTGAATATTAATATTATTAACCTTCCCCAATGGCAAGGGGGCAAATCAGATGCGACTCCGACTTCATTTTATAGAGCACGTGCGTTGTTTAACAGAGAAAAAAATTTCATGATACATATATAATATTATATTATTTATCTATTTTCTTATATTGATTAGATAAAATATGAACAAAACAGCGTCAGATCGAATGCGATCCTACTTTTCTGAACGTCTTGAACATTCGCTTTACAATTAGGAGAGTCAAACACTAAGATTTGCGTGGCCAAAAATAGGATTATTTCTCTTATACTCAACTTATTTCTTATTATACTCAACTTATTATATATCGCTATTTTCTTCGATATTTAATTTCAAGAAAGGACTTGGCTTGAAAACATTCTCGGATTAAGACACGAAACTGCCAGCAACCCACGACCCTAAACATCCTGATGGCCCTCGTCATTTGTCGCCACGGTTACGGAAACAAAATAATTAGGGAGAGTCTACGAAAAGGTAACCCTTTCCACCTGTTTCTCTGCACCCTTGTTGAAAAGGCCGAAAGGAAAAGGGACGATTTGGGGAACCCTAGCGGCAGTCGCGTAATCGCGTAACCCTATGCCTCGGGACGACAACTTCGTTTAAAGCGTTGTTCCCAATTATGCTCGTGTTAATCGTCGTCGTTGCGCGGAGCGGTCTCGCTGATTTTATTAGCTCGCGCGAATCAGGAGCGCAAAACGAGGCCTCGAAGTCGTTATGAAGTCATTTCGCGAAAAGGGTCGCGTCTATCTGCCTATCGTCAACGGACACGCAATCTAATTTTTGAGAGACGGCAGCTGTAACGGTGTCCGCGCGTGTTTACGTCTTAGTTCGTTTATCGTTCTGCTAAAAAGATGATAGCAATCACGTTAGTTGATAAGCTTCTGTTTAGCCCTAACGAGTTTTCGAGATCTCTCTCAGTTGGCTGTGATGACAATTTTAAATCTGAAGCTAGTCTTTTTAATTTTTTATATTAACATATCGCTCCCTTATTTCAAAACTCAAAATACATGAGTTTCAAATTATTACCAGTTAAATAAACGTTACTCTATCAATTTTATTAACAAATAAACTAATTTAATTAAATAAGAGAATTATTGTATTAGGTCAAAGTAAAACTAGCGTTTAAATATTTCTATGTAAATTTTTATAACATATAGGTACATATCTGATTCTGCAAAATGCGTGCCAAAGTCATTTTCGTGAATTAACTCAATTCTATGAAAAATCATTAAAACGTCACAACTCAAACAAAATAGTTAAAAATCGTCTCAAAAAGGGGTGATTTTTTAAGTGTTATAAAAACAAAGTGATAAAAATGATGTTTGATCATTTTAAGAATACATTTCTTGCCGATATTAATGCATCAATCAATAATTTTTTGTCAAGTTGAAAGACAATTTTTTTTCCTTTTTTTTTTGAGAAATTTAATATGTCACTTTTGAAGTAAGGAAGAGCAATACGTATTAATATTAACCCAAGTCAATCACTCATGGATCCAACCCTGTGCAATTTTTTACATTGCTGCAAACTTTTTTATAACATAATTTTGTAATATAAGAAAGACCCGGATTAAATTTAAACATTAAAACATTTTTTTCTAAAGTAGTCATTTTTTGCGAATTTTTCCAATAAAATTTCTTTGAAGCATTGTAATTAATTTAAAATAAATGTATTATTTATTTGATTCATATTTATCTGCCTTTGACTTCGAGGTATAAATTTCACACGTTTTGAGCTAAAAAATATGTATTCAATCCAGAGATTTAGCGTGACAAAGTTGCAGGGTGTCACAAACCCTCGTGTGGGAAGGCAACCAAAAATGGCTTTCTAGGATTAAGATTATATTTCAACAAATATATACATACGTATTGCTCTTCCTTACATGTATAACGTGTGTGTGTGTGTGTGTGTGTGTGTGTGTTTACTCAAATGTTAAAATATAATAATTAAAAAATTTCTCTCTTTCTCTCTAGCAAAATAAAAATAAAAGGATATCCAAAAGATTTGAAAACGACTTTGCCTCATTAATCAAATTTGACTTACGTTGATTTTTTTTTGCATAAGAATCATAATTTCGCGGAATAGAGAATGCAACAAGAAAGCAACAGGAATTTACGAGACCGCGGAGATAATATGGTGGTATTTTATGCTGAAATGTTGGAAGCGAGTTTCTGTGTTTCACGACTCGGGTTGTGCCAGGACGCAACAATCCGAGCGAGAAATATTTTGCAAAATAGACTACGGCAATCCAGCGCGTTTCACAAAATTCTTCTCCGGACGATTCATTATCGTTCGTAAAGATGACCGCGGCGCGGTGCAAGCCACCTGCAGCGGAAAAAACGAACTAATATCATTAACCGCTTTTACTACCTCACGAGTATGCGGCGACTCGTAAATTTACCGTTGGTTCGGAAACCGCGCGACGTTTTGTGCCACTTATTTTCTGCGTTTCTTCCACGGATTATAACGATAATTGGGTTTCCCTCAGAGTAATTTATACGAGTGAAATAAAAATGTGTTTGAATCTAATAATGTATTCGTATCTCTTCTCGAATAAAGGATTAATTGTAAACTTTCTTACACTCTCTAAATTTCTTAGCGCAAAATCTTACTCCAAAAAAATGAAAATACTGTCACCATCGAAAAAAATCGAAAATGTTTGAATAAGAGTGACAGATTTTCTTTTTTTCTTTGGAGTGAGATTTTTCTAAAAAAGGAGTGAAATTTTTTTCGTTTGCAGTGAATCTCACTCCAAGAGTGAAAATCTGCCACTCTCATTAAAAAAGGTAAATATTTTTCGTTTCTTTCAATAAATGATAGTATTTTCGCACTTATAGATAATTGAACCTTCACCTCAAGAAATTTAGAAAATAATAAAAATTTTTTCAAGTAGTGAGAGTGGGGCAATTGCAAATATGTAAATGTAAACACTACTACTGCAATATATTAAAATAGTAAAAGTGATATAAAAATTAAGTACTTATTTTTCACATCCAATAATATTATTTTACAATGTCATAGTGCAGTACTAACATAAGCATACCCGATGTAAGCTTAATGCTGCACTATAACATTGTAAAAAAATCCCGAACCGGTGAAATGCAAACCAACCTCGAAAAGAAGACATTTAAAAAGAATGCTTCATACAAAAGTAGGATTTCAATAAATGTGAATTAAACGGTGATACCTATTTGACTTTGAGAGCAGGTATATGAAGGAGCTTTGAAAATCAATTTTAAAACTTTAAATGGAAAAACGCTCTACTTTTTATTCAATATTCTTGCAGCTAACATCAAGATCTTCTTAAACTCACTTGAATTACAATGAAACTCCTAATAGTTTTCGAATTACATCTTTAATCAATTATAATTCTACTTTCAAAAACTACTGTAGTAGATATTTTTGTATTAGGATTTTCGCCTCAAAATTGTCTAAAAAATATGTTCTTAAGAGGAAATGCGGTGGTTTTGATACACCGTGTGTATACA